AGATAGATTTACATAGATAGATAGATATTGAAAATATGCACAAACCATATAAACTCGTTTGTATACGTGTAGCCCCGTTCCATTCTAAAAGACATCTGCCTCCATTCTAGAGAGCGTCCATTTCTAAGGGGAGCCAAAAGTCAAAGCTCTTGATTCAGCACGATGAGGTTTGAAGCGCAGCGTTCATCTGCTCATCAAGCTTTCCAGGCTCTTAACGCAAATCATCACGCAATTTTTAATGGCCACCGTATGTTTGAGCTGCTTTTACCGTAGCCCGACCATATCTTCTACAAAAGAGGTCTTTTGTTTTTCTTTTCATTAACTTCGTTTGACGTTTTACTATAGTTTCGCATAAAAGTCAATCAAGAATTTTTTTATCTTGTAAACCTGAGAAAAATCATACCAACCTTTTTTCTATCCTAAATTTTCCAAGTTCATGTGTTTGGCTAACGAAATAAAAGGAAAGTCGTTTCGTCTTTACATAGCGTTAGCCTGTACACGTGCAAGTAGCTGTTATTTGAGCTGTGGATTGGAAAGATGTATGCTATAAGGATCTAGTTTGTAGGTTTGGTCGTGATATACTTAATATAAAATATCTATACAGAAGTTCATTAAGTAGTTATTTACCTTATATCGCGGTTTTATTTCAATGACGTGCTGCTTTTCTACAATTATGTTTCTTGATAGGCGTAGAAAAACAATATAACTCGTCATATCGGTTGGCTCAGGTTCTTTGACAGAACACCAATATCCACTTTGGACGATTTTTCCACAAGGTCATGAGTAAGTCGCTAAAATTGAGTTTGGACAGACATGTGTAATAATGGTAATGTTCTAATCAAAAGCTGTAAAAAGCTTCAAATTTACAGGACTCCTTTATGTATAGGCTTTCAACGTCGGTGTCATACTCCACTGTTATGCAGAGCTGCATAAATAGTAGCAACGCGTGACAATTATATTAAATTTGTTTGTGTACGTCGTTTACGCCTGAGAGCCTGTAAGGTAGTTTTTCTGAGAAAGCCTAAGTGTGAACTGGAGTAGTTCATAAAGCTCAATTTGACCTGATTCTTCACTGAACTTTTGACGCATCGGCTTCCATTTTATCCAATAATTTTTTGGGGGGCGTTTTGTTCTGCGGCTCAATGGACTTTTGATAGTCATTTTTAGCTTGCCCACCAAGTGACCGCTTTTCAGTCATAAGACTTGGGAGTTCTGAAGTTTGAAGCGATTTGAAAGTTTCTGTAGAGTCTTATAATTATTGTTATCAAAATTTTTATTGTGATCTTGGTAATGTTGCAATTGTGAAATATATTTAAAATCACCTATCTCTAAATAGAAACCCATCTATTTCGATATAGACTATTTCTTAGCTATTGCTTTGTCCTTAATGTACAAGGAAAGATAACTTGTGCTCCTGCAGGAGATGAAGCTAAACAATATATAAGCCAGCAGATTGGCACCATGGTTTTATCAGATAGCAAACTCTTCGAATACGTAAGAAAAAGCTACGTATGTTAAGAAGATACCCTGTATCGATTGTAGACGAAAAGAAGAAATCATTTGAGGTCGATAAACTGCAGGCATGGTTAATGACATTATACTCTAGATACTCTAGTAAGAGTATCGATGATATACGATAGCAGCTAACGGAACGGTGCAGATACGTAACGTACTGTGAAGGTGTCAATAGAAATGGATCCTCAGCTCGTTAGATGCCAATCGGTCAGATCGTGCTTAGCGCGTACCGTTTCAATGGGACGTTCAATTAGTTAGAAATTATTAGAAATCGGCTTCCGTATAGATGGCACTGACCCTTTGGCCCGTACGTACCGTATTCACCAAGACAACGAACAGAAATTTGTACGCAATAAGCACAAAGTGTTTACATATAGCGAAATGTATCGGAGCGTATAGACAAGAAGTTGAAAATCACTACCTACCCTTTTAGCTTTTTTTCTTGCTAACACGCAATAGTCAGTTTGAAGCCTATCACAGTCACCTTGCCGCAATCTACGACCATCCGCCTGGCCCCGTAAGTGAGGTTAAACTTATGGTATAACTTATTCAGTTACCCTAGTTTAGAACATTTCGTTATTTTTTGCAGTGGACACTGTTTCACGAGTCAATTCTGTATAAATGTGTATGAGTCCATCTGATAGGGCTGACGATAATGACTCAGCACGAACCTCTACGCAAGCATTATTATTATTTGCTTGTATATAATTTTATTCGTAATTAACCATGTTAGCTTAAGATGGAAAATTAAAATTTAATTACTTGTTAATTAGCGCGTTTTTCTAGTCTGCGTCAAAACGATCTTGTTTACTTCTTCCAGCAACGATGTTTGCTAGGATCTATTAGAAAGAGCTCAATTAGCCGTCTAAACCTAGGCGGAATAGTGGTACCGAAGGCGAAACTCAAAACGCTACGCGGGAAAAGTTAAAAAGGCGCATTTCAAGCGAAGTGTTGGCCTTTATATTGATAAGTGCTGATTTATTCGCTCACTGGTCTATGCGCCTAAACCACCTGATTGTATTGGTCTTGAAGCCACCACTAGAAGACTGGGTTAGAAAATTAAAAAGTGGAAGTGGCTCAATTTGGAATGGGTTAGGATAACTGCCACCTATAGTATACCGATTTTCTATTTATAGAGCTACTGCCAGCTCTGGATGGGTAATGTCTACAATATTATACACTTATGTTCAATAACTTATGATATGCCTATTTCGAAACAATGTTTCTACCATAAACAGAAACGTTTATACGAATATATTCGCTATAGCGTGTTCAGCTAGTTATGTAGCTTCGTGAAAAAAAAGAACCAAAGTTTTACAGTAAGAATAATTTTGAAAATAAAGTCTAGCCTGCAACTTAACTTCATTTTGTTGCTCTGTAAGTACATATGCAAATCTGTGTTTTCGTTATTAATTTGTCTTCAAATGCAAATATTTTAGCTGTAAGCTCGTTAACCGTTCAACATACTAACTTGATTCTCGATTGTTTGGTATGTTGCCTTAATTGAAAATAAACATCATTACGTATTTGCCCGACAAACGACAATAAATTGCCTAGAAAGTAAGCAATCTATGTTCCCTTTGTTTGTTGACATTTGAAATCATTGAAGCCTAATTAATCTTCCGCGGGGTTTGGGAACTCTTTGAAGAAACTCCAGCTGGCAGTATTCGAGCTGTACTACAAAATCAGGGCAGATAGATGGCCTTGACTATTTGAAGCCTGTCATTTTTCTATTTAAATACTAACTTTTGATTGCTGAAGAGCCACCGTGGCACGGAATAACCGTGCACTGAAAGCAAGAAGTACGCAATAACCGCTGAAGTACGCAATAACAGAACGTGCAAGATCTATACAACTATTTACACTTCTCGTCTAAAAAACTTCGAATTACTCTGGACAGAGTTTTACTCAGTCACATAAGGCTTTCGACGGAATAGCATTTCTTAGGGCCTAATTAATACGTGCGCGATTGTTGTTTTTGACCTATTCCAACTGTGCGTAAAACAATCACAAATGCCGAGTGCTAATAAATGTTAAATACTTGCTCGTCCCATTGCATTTGTGACGATCAGTCAGTATAGCTACCTATATAGAACAGATAACCTGTTTATTTATTATTTAGTATCTATAATTTCGTATACTTTCTCTTTCTCCAAAACCTAAGTGTCCCTATCTCGAACCGTAGTATTACTATTGTCTTCAACAAAAACTCCCTCTTTAAATTATAGATAAATCGTATTCCAAGTATAGCTATTTACTTTTCACAGGATCTTTTGTATGCTCATTATCATTACTGATCCAGCATCTTTTCCTGTTGTATAACGCACGTTCTACGGGAAATTTGTCGCTGTAGCTTTGCTTCCTTACTACCTAGTTCTATCACGCCAAAACTCAGCAGGTTCAAAATCTCCACCTCGATCACCTTCACGTCCTATATAATCTGGCAGAGTAAACAGTTTAAATCTATAGACATAAAAAGCTAGTTGAATGTTCATAGCAAGCAAGAACTGGAATCGCTCTGCTAATTACGATAATCTTTATCTCCATTTACAGAGAATAAATCACAGCAGCGCGCTAAAAATATAACTTTCGAAACGGTGCTTACCAGTCCTGCTATATTTTCGCCATGTATGCTGTACAACCAATATCGTCTTTCGGATTTTAAATATGCATAAGGCATTTGAAAATTTGCGCCATTAACTGAATGTTTGTTTTCGGAAACACATGTTCGTATGCTAACGCGTGTTTTGTGACAGCCTAACAAACGATCAAAATTCTATAGGAGTTTATTGAAAAAAAAAAGGTGAAACAAAATAGACTAACATTTTGCTTGTTATATTTCAAACTTCAGTTAGGTTTGTAAAATGCGATACACGACTAATCAGCTGGGACAAAGCGGGGCAGAGGTGCTTTTTTTATTTTGCCATGAAGCGTTAAATATATATATATATATATATATATATATATGCTATTACGTTATTATACAAAGGAAGAAAATAATTAGCCAAATTGTAGTTGTTGGGTTCGCAAGCCCTAAGCAATGCAAGCGTTAATTAATGTCGGTAACGTGTAGCCATTTAAAGAAATTAGACACCCAGAGAAATCTCTAATGTAACTCCAGACTTTGGAGCAAACTGAAGTCTAAGGAAAATTTGAAAAATAACTGTCTATATGTTATAAAAATTTCTAAAAAACCATTACTTTATAGACGATTGTGACAAATTGTATAAATTTCGCTCAAACACAGTTAGTGTACTATGATGGACGACACAATAACTGCATTTTGCAAAATTTGGAAGATCCGTTTCTAGCATGACCTATGACAACAGTTCGATCTCGAAATCCGTTTTTAAAGTTTTGGACGCTAAAAGTAGCAGTGCAGCCCGATAACGTCAGAACTCGAAAGAGGCACTTTACCTTGATATCATTTTGACGTATTTGAAGGTAACTAGAAAATTGAGGATATATAGGCGATTTTCCTAAACCCTCTCCTAACGCTGTAGCCGTCCAGCGAAGGAACATGGCAATCGCGCCTTGAGTTTTCAGGTGCTCCAGGTTTTGATGTCAGCTACTCGGTGCAATAGACACCGTATTGTTCTCGTGACTGTAGGACAACGAGTGGTGGGTAAATCGCTTTAGACGTTACGTCATATTTGCCACTGCAAAAACACCTTGATATCACCCCGCTGCTTACAATTGATAATCTAGAAAGAATTCGAGCATCGCGGATGCTCCCATTCTTGAAACTGAGCTGTTGTTGTAAACTTCAATTGTATATTCATTTTACGCTAGACAATTATCATGTAAGGTAAATGTTTTTTTTTCGTGTCCGGCAAAACAAGATAGCTTTTACGCGCATATGCAGTCTAGAAATGCAAGGAATAAGTTCCACTTTCTTCAGGCTGCGCGACCTCAGCGGTGCCAATCCCCGTCGCATGATCACATATAGTAACGTTTTTACATCCATTGATTCAAAGTATAAAGGCATTTAGCGCTGGAGCTGATTACTGAGCCATTCGATACTACGAAGCAGCAATTCTATTTTATAATATCCACATCTAAGATGTTATATGAAATTGCAATAAAAAAGGCGATAGTGATGTTACGGGTGATTAGACCGCGGTCAGAAACCCTTAGAAATAAATTCAAATCAGTCTATCCATAAATATTCTCTCTCAAATAGAAAGCCTAATCCTCGTAAATGCTATGCCTTATTTTATTCTGGTGGGCTACAAGAAAGTAAACCACCAAAAGTTAAATCTATGGACTTGTAATAACAAACGTAGATAGATAAATATTGTATCGTATCGTTAACGACACAAGTGCATGCGGCAAACAGTGTGTAGCGAACGGATTATTTACCAGAAGTGCCTGTTTCTTTAAGAGGCCTCTCATAAATCGTTCGGTCCGGCAGATAGTGCGCGCATCGTGGTCACCCACCAAAGCTGGAACTAACATACGTTATTTTCGTTAATTATATGCCGCCATTTCATTGAACATATGCGATTTAACATTTTTCTTTGCGAGACTGAAGGTAGCTATAGGCACTTAACCACTTATTTTTAATTGACTTATGCTGACACATCTGTTATTGATTTTATTAAATTTACCACTTACGACGCGATCAACCAGCATCAGTGATACAAAGTCACTCCATCGTATAGATCATTCAATAATTGTTGAGTGAAAGGTTATTAGTTACCTATCACCACTTAAACAGATTTACTTTAGAACAAGTTAATGACGCATATATTTTCCATACACCTCACATATAATCGTATCTATCCTAAAAATGAACTTCTGTGATTTGTATATAATCTGCCTATTATTGTTTTTTATTCTAGGGATTAACGTAGCGATTGACGACATGTTTTATAGAATAACTTAAAACCATTTATATATGTATATATACATCCCGATGTACTACTAAAAGTCAACGTCAGTGTGCGCCCCTGTGACAACACCTCTCCTTTTGACAAAATCTTCACCGCCCAAATCGCTTGCCTTCTAACGTTGTGTTTTAACAAACTCCATAGAGTCGATATGGCGATACGATATTACAATGCTTAAGAGTGTCTTTTGCTGAAGTCGGCCCAATAAGTTTTTGAGAAAAGGCCATTAAATAAAGCGTCAAGTTCTAAGTAACTCTGTGATATCGGTTAGCCAGCGTCATTTCTTTTCAGTATGTGCTAAAGCCAACCATTGTTGTGTTGGCTGAAGTTCACGCAGCGATGCTAACATGGATGCGTATTTTATACTCGGTGTGATACAGAGAGGTGTCATCACTCTCCACACGAATTGTCTTCAACGATATCCTACTGAGCGTGGCGCAGAGCTTGCTGATAAATTTAACATTATAGAAGAATATATCTGCGGAGCCTAAGATTACGCTTCCACTATATGGATTATTCATGTAGATCCAAATCGGTAAAGGCTTTTTGGTCCAGCTTGCCTTAAAACGTTATTACAAAATATTACTCTGAGCTTCATTTTTTCTCAATTTTTCATCTCGGCGTTATATGAACTTTTGGGTACTAATACTGGTATTAAAATTTAAGCAATCTTAGTGAGAGAATATGAGAGACTTCGATTCCAGCCTTGATTTATTCACTTAGAAACGTTACAAGTTTATTAATAAAATGTAAGCATCTCCCTTAAGTAACACAAGTCATGTTTTTAGCATAGTGGATGATTTCTTACAATCGGCGGGTTTTTATGCCTCCCGACAATATTCACTGCACAGCATATACTTTTTGCTAACAATACTGGACTGCCTACCTTTATTCGTTAGCTGAGCACAAAAGTTATCAGTAAGAAATAATTACGGTTACGAAGCTACACCGATGTTGATGTATGTCACACGCAATGGTAGATTCAAATATTCGCGCGCTCGGATCGCCCTTTCCTTTGGGACCATCACGCATTCTTCCTAGCGAGCCGGCAGCAAGCCGGTTCTCGTACAAAACACGTGTGAAACGCGTAAGAGTAAATACATAAATTGTGCGGAGCTGCATTCGCGTATTTCCGTAGGTTGTGATTTGACTCGTTGATATAACAATGGCCCCAGCCGCATCAAAACCTCCGTACAAAGTGGCCAACATCGAACTTGCGGAGTTGGGCCGCAAGGAAATTACTTTGGCTGAAAACGAGATGCCCGGTAAATATGTTTTTTTTGTTTCTACATTAGTTGCCGATTTTAACGAATGGAAATTAGATATGCGGTTGCACTCATATCTAATTTCCATTCGCTGCGATAGACATACGAGCGTAATCGAAATTTATATAACGTAATCGAAAGCGTTATGAAGAAACCAAACGTTAGAGTTCTTGGTTGATTAGGTTTTTTCTTTAATAAATAATAATTAATTCAGCGTTTCCCGATAAACGGGGCTAATTTCGATTTTTCATTATATATAACTATAAACTGCGTAGCTGACATAATTCATAAATAATATCATAACAACACCGTTCTCGAAGGCAACAAGATTTTAGAGTAGCATCCTATTGAGCCTCATGCACAGTAACTAAAAGTGAAGGCTTACATCAATATTTTGTTTTCGAATATAGGGCTGATGACTTTACGTCAGAGGTACGGCGCCGAGAAGCCATTGAAGGGAGCTAGGATCGCGGGCTGTCTTCATATGACTATTCAAACGGCGGTTCTTATCGAAACTCTTCTCGAACTAGGTGCGGAGGTTCAATGGTCTAGCTGTAACATCTATTCCACTCAGGTAGGTAAAATTAAAAACTTTATTTTTATAGATGTTACTTAAAGCGTAATATCTGTTGTCCATGCACGTCAGTGAATACCAAATTAAATACTCATGATAACGATTGTCGAGTATAGTGAAAAACACAGGACTCACACGAACATTCTACCAAATCCACGAAATCATGGAGAAGTAGGAACCGTGTAATCTGTAAAAATGCCGATAATTTAGTGGGATTTCGGAGATAACTAGCCATTGTTTATAGCAAGTCCAGACTGGACTCCATTCGTCTACATCTTACGTTCTATTCTTATATTGTCATCTATATCTATTGTTACCGGCATTAGTAGCACTTAGATAGACTGTCTGTCTACGCGGCTATGTTTGGGTGCTCTTTGGTAAAGTAAAAAGGTTTTGTGAAAAGGAATTAATATTAAGGGGCGTCGGTGCCGCCTAAAGAGGGTAGCCGGATTCAAGAAGGTGGCGTTCTGTGTTGACGAGTCAATCAATACTGAATTGAGGGAACTTAATATGCATAGAATAAAACGCTATCCTACAGTTACATGTGATAAATACTACTAGAGAACGGAGCATAGCTGAAGTTTTTTTAGTTCCTTGTACGAGTCAATCGTCAGTCGTCATAATATATCATTCACTGAGTGTTGGTTGCCCTGTGTTCCGCTTAAGTAGATTAGAAATTATATCCTTTAAAAACGGGGTTTCTATTCCGCTTAATTAGATGTTGTCGTAAACAGTACTATGCAGCGGCTGCCATGGCTCTGAGTGTGGTGTTCTGGAGTACGCAAGAAATTAATTTGTTTTATATGTTTATATACAGGATCATGCAGCGGCTGCCATGGCCAAGCGTGGCGTTCCAGTGTACGCATGGAAGGGGGAAACTGACGAGGAGTACGAGTGGTGCATTGAGCAAACGCTCATTTTCAAGGACGGCCAGCCGTTGAACTTAATCCTCGATGATGGTGGCGATCTCACCAATATTGTACACAAGAAGCATCCTGAATACCTTAAGGACATCCGAGGCATCTCGGAAGAAACGACAACTGGCGTGCACAACCTGTACCGCATGCTGAAAAAAGGCGAACTCAAGGTGCCCGCCATCAATGTGAATGACTCCGTAACAAAAAGCAAGTTTGACAACCTTTACGGATGTCGGGAGTCTTTAGCGGATGGTATTAAACGTGCCACTGACATCATGCTGGCAGGCAAAACTGCTTTCGTCGCAGGTTTCGGCGACGTGGGTAAAGGCTGCGCTCAGTCTTTGAGCGGTTTCGGTGCCCGTGTAATCGTCGCAGAGGTCGATCCAATCAACGCACTTCAGGCGTCTCTTGAAGGTTACGAAGTGACAACGCTTGAGGACGCAGTCAGTCGGTGCAATATTTTTGTCACGTGTACAGGATGTCGCGACGTTATTCGAGGCGAGCACCTCGAGAAAATGCCAGATGATGCCATTGTTTGCAATATTGGACATTTTGATCTTGAAATTGATGTTAAATGGCTGGACCAGAATGCTAAAGAGAAAATTGAGATCAAGCCTCAAGTGGACTGCTACACACTTAAGAACGGCAAACACATCATTCTATTGGCAAGGGGACGCCTGGTAAATTTAGGCTGCGCGACTGGTCACCCCAGTTTCGTAATGTCATCCTCTTTTACAAATCAGGTACTTGCTCAGATCGAGCTGTGGACTAAACCCAAGAATTACCCAGTTGGTGTATATATGTTGCCCAAAAAACTTGACGAAGAAGTAGCCCGTCTTCATCTCGATAAGTTGGGTGTAAAACTGACACAACTGACGCCGGATCAGGCTGAGTATATTGATGTTCCTGTTGGCGGGCCGTACAAGCCCGACCACTATCGGTATTAAAGCTCAACAAAAAAGCAGTACCAACGACTCTACGATACAGAGATGTATAGATTGCAGCGCATGACATAATAAATACAGGTGGTATTTAACAGATGTGTAATGTGTATTTATTAATGAATGAACGTGTAAGAATCATCGTCTGTTGGATGTGATTGAAGATCTGGGAGTGTTTTGATATTGAACCTTAAATGTTTTTGATTTTGATGAACCTATACTGTTCGACTATCCAATAAAGTTAAATATGCACTATTTAGTAGTTTGAGCCGGAGATCAGAAGAGCTGGAGATATAAGAAACGATAGAACAGCAGGAGAAAAGATGGGGGAGTACTATCGAGAGCAAGTTGTTATTACATATTAAGACAAAGCTGGAAATCTAAGCAACGGTTGAAATACACTAGCCAGTGACATACAAAGGAATATATCCTTAAGGGTAGAAAACGAAAACAAATATGTCAAGTTACACAGGTTTACGTACTCAATTTTTATGTTGAACTACAAATTATCTGTTGAATTCAAATTATTACAAATGCAGAGTATCCCCGAGCTAATTTACGGAATTAGATGCGATATTTTTTTAGGAACAAGAATTATACCTTTGTTACTTTCGTGATAATGAAAGACGGCCCGACGATCCTTGCCAATCCTCGATTAGGACAGTTTCGCAACTTTCGGAAGTCTGTTATTACTGAAAAATCGGATATGTGCACTACCCGGCTTTGCATACGTCCGACCTCATGTGCCCTTCTGATTTTGCATCCTACTAAGATAGTTTTGCAGTATTGTCCATAATCGAGCACTTACGAAAACTTTCCGTATATTGGTCAATAGTCTTTTGGAGTGTCGTAAGTACCGGCTTTAGCGATCGAATAGCGTTTAAAAGTATCAAATTCCCTGTTCACGAGCCACCCCATATGGACCTTCAGGTCAATTGTCTTAGTTTATTTTAAACCTTGCCTTGTTTCATGTGACTGTACAACCACCACCGGACGTCATCTGATGACCACCAATCCAGAGAAGAACGAGAGCAGCGTCACCGGATAAAGAAAATTCTAATGAAAAAAGAGGAAAATCCTCATCCTCCTGAGAGCAACTTACTGCACTGGGCAGCTAAACAACAAATTATTTACCTTCATCGAAAGAATCCTGAAGAATGGACTCCAACAAAAATCGCAGAGGAATTTCCAATAAGTGCTATAGGAGCAAAGGTATATTTTATTTAGCAAAGAAGTATAGGTACCTAGGATTGATATACAAAGTTGGTTGATTGGAGGAAAAAAATCTCTATAGATCAAGAATTAACCTAGGTTACCCGGCAGCGGGTGAGATGCAAGAGTGTAAAATATAGAAAAAATAATTTATAATATGAAACTAGCAATTCAAGAAAGATGTATTTATATATTTGTTAGAAATCCGATAATCTTTGTGAAAAGCATAAAGCATAAATTGCTAATTCTCACGCTTCTAGCAGTGGATTTGGTGTGTTAATACTTTTAGAGATTGCTGAAGAGTAAATTCCTTATTGAAAAGAACAAAATCGCCGAGCATGATGCTGAAGTTGATCTCAGATGGAAGTTACTTAAGAAAATTAAGTATTCGGGACACTGCCCAGAGGAAGGATCTGTCACATTACACAAGAAGACAATTGAGCTCTACCTTGGAGGTGAATTTCCAACTATGGTTGTGTAAAAATTGATTCGCTACGATGTGTAGATTACATTATAATACTTTAAAAAGAATAAAAGGCAGCGAGTCAATTAAATCAATAAAAAAATTATTACTTTTATTATTTACTATATTTATGCGATTACAAATCCAGTTTACAGGAGGTTCAGCTTTATAAAGCCAAAACTTTTTTTTTTTTATAAAGGACGTCATCTCCCTCGTTGGCGCGAGTCTATAACGGCCAGATATTTAGAAGGATAACCAGTCTTCCATTTTTAGATTTCTTCCACCAGACCCTAACAATTCTTTTTAAAACTTGTATCTGACCAGAAAGCTTGCTGATCCACCGTTAGGACCAAACATCAATGTTCTGTACGTAATAGAAACAAGCAATAACAAATTATTGTATAAAGTTTAAAAACGTGTATTATTACAGATAAGCTACAGTATGAAGCATTTAAGTCAGGCAGTTCCGAATTTCCAAGGCCAGCGGCAACTGCAGGTATCCGTGTGCCAATAAGGATTGGCCAGAACGGAGAACATTACAAAATGCTTCAGGAGTACAAACTCCTTCTTGGCTCAAAACAAGAAGAATCCGAAGACCAGAAAACATCAAAAGAAGAGATAATCATTCAGCATCGTTCGGATGATAAGCCGAATAAATCTGGTATGTTTTTTCTTGGTTTTTGTTTTTAACAATTATTTGTACACACGAGTACCTTTTATTAGGTCACATCTGGTCGATTAAAGGAGCTGTGGAGGATTTGACATATCAGAATATCGCAAAATCAGCCGTCTGAATGCCTCAAAACATCAAGTCTATAAAGAAAAGTTACGAAAGTTGTTTGCAAATACTTTGATGTTTAATAGATCTTTAATAAATCAATTTATAATGGAAAAAAGCAGGTAAACTGTCGAAAACAGCTGCAGTAGGTGCTAGTTGGTCTAATTTTATCTAATCCAAAAAACATTCTGGCTTCTGTTTTGTGATAGCGGTTTTAACACGCTGTATATACTTATTTGTGCTACTTGCAGAAAAAATAGCTTACCGACTCAGTAGGAAATATATACGCGAAGACTGTGAGGATGACCCTGAAGCAGCCACCACACTCGATCTTCCAAAGAACTTCAGGATAGAATTTGTGAACGAGTTCAGTGGAAAGGGTAATATTAGTTTAGGTCAATTTAAAGATATCGCTGGCCATAAAGAGCTTCCACAGGTAGAAGGCAGACGAACCCAGAAAAAGCCTAGAAAGAAGGATCTAGCAAAGTCAGATGAAAATAAACCAATGGTTCTAAAATATAAACAACCGCCAAGAGCAGCCATCGCCGACGAACACTTCTCAGATGGTACATATAGGATACGGAATACAATTTACGGTTCCGATGGAGAAGCTTTATATCGAATCAGATCATCGAAATAATAATTACTTACTACCCCTCTGAAAATGAGGTTTGGCTGTTACCGATGACCAGTTATTGCTTCGGCATATTGCCTTAATTTTAAGGGGCACACGACACAGCGATAGCCTTGGTATCCAAAAGCTCCTCGCGCTATGATTGGTGTTTTCAGTGCGTCTTTGTTTGTTGCCAGTTTTAACAAAATGTTTCTTCAGCTATTTCAGAGAGAATCTAATTGGTAAAATTCTTATGTAACTCTATTTGTATCTAATTTAGTCAAAAGGCCAGTAACTCTCCAACTCACATGCAATCCCGGTTCGGTCTCCGAATTATTAAATCGAGCTGAAAAGTTCTGATCCAGTAGATTTCTATATATTATAATATATAGGGATCTAATACAGCAGAAGTTTAGCGACGAAATAAATGAAAGGCATTACTTTTTGAAACAAATCGTCTACGGTATATTCGTTTTTATTATATACATTGAATGTTGTTGTTGTTGGTTTTATTTTGTTATTATGAGCAACGCGAGGGCCGTGACGTTTTTCTTAGTCATTTTGATTCTTAATGCTGGTTCTATTCATCAACTTTTCGAAACTCATCACTTGCTGGGTGCTGCTGAAGATTTCTGTAGTTACGTAATACGTAATAGGATCCAAAACAATTATCGCTTATTCAGCTAGCTTTGAGTGTAACATGGTTTGTAAGACTTCTAGCGCCTTTCTAGTAGTTTCTCGTTAGTTAGTAGAGACGTAACTTTGCAATCCTTTTCCGTAGTTTCCGTATAATCTTCCATCTCCGCATAATTTTTCGCCCCATTAATCACTCTTATATCGATCCAACACGACAACTTAAGATTTTTGTTATTGGACCTCACAGTAGCGTAACCGTTAAGCCCCAATACAAAAGTTTTCTTTTTTTTTTCCCATCTCCTCTTTGTCCCTGCTCTCTTTACCCCACATTTCACTCGGTAGAACTGCGCCTAGTTTCTCTTTTATTTCCTTATTAATGTATATTTACTTTATGTATTATTTAGTTCGTGGTCCATGTCATATACGCATGGTAAATTTGAAAACCTTGAAAAGTTAACTGCAGTTGTTTGCAGTTAAGTTTTACATGAGTTCTGCGCCATCTCCGACCTCAAGCTTATTTTTAGCTTAGATAGACGGCTCATCTTCCAGCTTACTTATTGACCCTCAAAATATTCTTTCTTTTCGTGTCTACCTATGTACAACTGACTCGAGGAAGGGAATATGATTTTTTAACGTTACCCGTTCCCGCTCCTCATCAACAACTTCCGTGAAATCGTTCTATATTTCTCTTTATGTTATCCTATATGGCCGCCTTCCTTGCTTATCTTTAATTTGTGTCAAAGCGTCATCATCAACCATTCTGTACCTCCTACTTCTTTTATGATCTGGTTACGTTCTCAGGAGTGGTCTACAATTGCCGGAAACTCCAAAAATCCTCTAAAAAAACCGCAAGCCCCCGTTAAGCAAATCCAGCTTCTCAGATGGTCGGACAGTGTATATCTTCCCGCGCTACATTTATTTCCTGGTCAGGCAACATTTTTTTCCCCTCTGTTATATCGTGTTCATCCGATCAAACTGCTGCAGTTATGCCTAGTGATCAGTTAGCCCGCCTTAAGATCACCTAATCATCACACATGTGTCTGTCCGGCGCATCGATTCAGTCGCCTTTCATAGCTTCCGCTTTTGCTCACCCAGTAAACTTTTGTTGCCAATGTTTTCTTTTTCTATGTATGTATATCCCGGAGGCGACCCACAAAGGTGTGTACGTGTATATAGATGTGATATACTGGCTGTCTGCCGCAGTCACTTCGATGTTAATAATACTATTAATATCATAGTACATTTTATCTAAATTCCTGAAAAAACAATAAGCATAAGGGTAGTAATTAGAATATAATTAATACATTTATAGCTATTGTTAAGGATAATGATGATTAAATTTCATTTAAGAGCCAGTCGCTTTGCTGTGTAAATATACTAGGTCGTATATATATCCTGTATATACGAACACGTCTTTCACTTTTTTCATTATTTGCGTTAACATAGATATAAATCAACCACATAACACCTAGGCGTTTGTTAGCTAAACGTTCCACTATGACTATTATTTATTACGATTAGGTATAATATCTTATTAACATTGTTGTTGTTACCATTATCATTTCATCATTCTTCTTTTGTATCAATCATTATCGCTTAAAACCGTTTATTCCATCTTTATTTTCATTCGCCATTTCTTTAACCGATTGGTTACATAATCTTATGCGATTCCGACATTTATTTATATTTCCCGCGTTCCTCCACCCATCCCATTCACTCGCTACCAGCGCGGCGTTTTCCCCAATCTATTTCTAACTACCCTTTTAGCTTTCTTCTTAGAAATCTTCGTAAATCGTAAATCGTACATGCATCCCTATACAATTAACCCTAAAAATTAATAAATTAACTGTACCCATTAATGGTAATCATTCGTTAATAATCCATTGATAATTGAAGCAGATTCAACGGAATTGTATATGGTAGATACAAAAATATATATTAAAACATAATGTACAAAGCTGGACCCAACATGAACAGTGTATTCAAAAGACTCATTGTAGTTGTTAGAGTAGCAATGACTGTGTAAATGCCTATGCACGGTACCGCGTTCGGCTTTGCAGCTATTAGTAATAACAAACAAGAAAACTTTGTTGTTCCTCTAAACAAACCGACTGATATGTACTATAATAATGTAATATTCGCATGACATATTTCAGCCGCAATGGCCTCTAATACGAATTGATTGCTACGCTAATAATTCTATGTTGCGGCTCGATTCATTTGCGCAGTTTCAAAAAAAGCGCAATAAGTTATGATATTGCCTTATTATAATAACGCAAGCGTAACGCTAAGCAGTGCAGTCATTATCAATAATTGTCCTGAAGTTCCTATACTGGCGAACAATAAACGGTGTAAAATTGAGTGCGGTAGCGTGAGAAAATAGCAGCGACCGCGGCCAAACGTCCAATACCTGATCTCTTATAAATGGCTCCACACAGTAATCGAACAAAGTTCTCCATTGCTTGTCTTGTTTTTTCAACCCTGCCCTTTCAGCCTGGCTCTCAGCAAATCCATGGCGATTAACCCCCGTTCCAATGTGTATGGCCCCCTCTTTTTGGTAGAATATATACTCCGTGTTCCCAGTTGAATCCGCCGATAACCTTCCCGAATACATAATCATATTACGAATGAACAGACGTAAGTTGAGGAAAGGTGTTCGTCAACGGTCTTAAATGAATTCGCCTTTCCTCTTAGCAACAGAGTTCTCTTGTTAGGGAGTGAGTGTGTATGTGTGTCACTGTTGCTGCGTGTTTTTGTGAATACGTGTGCGTGGCTTTCAGGCCGGCACCTCCCGCCCTCATCTTGTTTAATTTTTTTCTTAGTTTGTTTTTCTTTGTTTTCACTTATACTGCTGAAGGAAACATTCTGACGGTAGAGCATGTGTTAAATTCAGGGCGTGCCACACACAGGTTTTTTGCTGCAAACGCCTTTACAAAAACCATTGCAGATGATTCTGCTGTGGCTGCTGCGGTTGTTGTATCGCTCAGTTACAGGGAGGTGACTGTCCTCAGTATGCTCGTTTATATTATTGTGAAGCTATTTTTTCTTCTACTTCTTAGCTTTCTGATTCAATTATGCGCTCCTGCATCTTTTCTACCTGTTTTTCCCTAAATGGGATTTAACATGGGGCCTGCTAAGGCTCGCTAGTACATCTAAGTGGACTTTGAGTTGGCGTGCCTCTTGGAGTAGAGCGAGTCGATGGCCTCCTGGTAGAAATCCTGAATCTGCTTCCGGCGGATCTTGAACGCCGCGGTCACGAGTCCGTTCTGCGGCAGCCAGTCCTCATGGCACAGCTTTACCTTCGTAGGAATTTCCATTTTAATTAGCTGTGCCTCACGTGCGTGCTCTATAATCAATGCCGTCGCCTCTCGTACCATTTCAACATCTTCACACATAGCTGTGAAATTCTCTTGCGAATCTTCGCTATTTTTGCCCAATTGTTCGGCCAGCTGTAATAGTACTTTACGATTTGGGACGACTAGCGCCACGAGATACGTATGGAAGGAGCTGCCATAAACACAGATGTTGTCCACAATTGGGCAGGTTTTTAACTCGGTTTCGATCTTACCAAGCGAGACGTACTCGCCATACTGCAGTTTGACGAGATCCTTCTTACGGTCGATAATCTTAATTGAACCATCTGAGCACATTTCGCCAATATCACCCGTATAGAACCAGCGGATTCCGTTTTCCTCAAAGAATACTTCACGAGTAAGAGCGTCGTTCTTGTAGTACCCTTTAGCGACAGTGTCTCCCCCGACGACGATCTCGCCGCGTGGAGGGTTGTCCAGTGCGTGGTAGCCCGCTTCATCCCAGTCGGCCAGTTTAACGGCTACACCGACCAGCGGTGCGCCAACTTTGCCGCAAGACTGATCGCAGACCTCCATAATGGCAGCCCCGGCTGCTGTTTCAGTTAACCCGTAACCCTGCACGACTGCGCAGTCAAGCGCATTTCGCACGAAATCGTGGGTATCTCCAGATAAGGGAGCCGATCCGGTGGCAATAACACGCATGCGGCCACCAAGTAGTGCCGCTACTTTGTTAAAAACGAGCCTGTCTATAAGCGGCGTTCGATAGCCCAGCCTTACCCAAAAGTTCTTATAAGCCACAACATGGCGGAAGAACATCTTGGAGAAAGGACCCTTCGAATCAGCGACCTCCGTGATGGCCTTTCGCACTCGGTCAAGGACAAGCGGGACTGATACCATAATGGTAGGCCGAAGCAAGGCCGCATCGCCCTTCTGTCCGCTCTTAATTCCGGTGGATTTGTCCGTAAGTGTCAACGGTGATGAATAGCCGATCTTACAACCCAATGCAAGTGACAAATGCTCTGCAGCCAGCTCAAGTACGTGGGCCAGTGGAAGATAAGCTATGTATGCGTCATTGTCATCGAGCGTTTCAGGAACGATGGTTGCGAACCCGCGAGCTGTGGCCACAATGTTCGATTGTGCGATCATGACGCCCTTTGGAACACCTGTCGAACCGGACGTGTACATAATAATGGCGGTGTCGTCAGGTCCTGGAACTTCTCCTTGCAGCTCTTTATCAGCTGAAGCTCCAATAACCTCGAGTTGTGAGAACGGTATCAAGTTGATGCCGGGCGGACTGGAGGGCTTTGTTTTCATGATCGGGTTCTCCATGTAGATGACGTGCGTCAACGAGGACATTTGAGGGAGTATTTTGACAACCTTCGGTAGAAGATCGAGAGAGGTGACAAGATGCGTCGCTTCTGTCTCATTCACTCCGTGAATGATTCCGTCCTCACCGAGCGTCGCAAAAAGTGTCACAACCGGGATATTCAGCCGCAGGCAGGCCTGAAACAACGGAAAAACCGCAAACAAAAAAAACAATATAAATGTTGAGCTTTCTCCGATGATATTTTCATCATAATACTGGATATTTAACATAGATACTACTTATCTGTGGTAAATACTATCTGTACGAGTATTGTGCATATTATTGTCGTTCTGTCCCTTCTAGCAGCGACTTTACCTGCGCCGTGAGCATCCACTCCATTCGTGTCTCAGCTAAGATAACGACGTTCTGACGAGGGCGAACCCCGAGCGACATCAATGCTTTCCCGATTAGGTCCAACTGTTTGTCTACTTCCCGGTATGAAATCCATTTATAATCGCCCAGAATAAGTTTCCTGAATGATTTGCCATCCGCCTGCTGCTCCATCTCTTCTCCAAATACCTAAACCACACAACAAATATCATCGAAATTAGGTAGATGCCTGAACTACAATAAATTGTTACATGGGCAGCTCACACATGGTGGATCTAATCGTCCAGAAATAAGACAAGTCAAGACAAATACACTATCGTTCTCGAGAAATACATAGCGATAAATAAAAATAAAGAATTGCGAGTATTTACCTCTCTGGCACCGAAACATGGCTTGTCGGGATAGGCTGCGATAGCATTTCGGGTAATCTTGTCTACGGTCTTTGCTCCGTTGAAAATGTCTCCATTCCGAAGCACGCGGCGCACATACGGGCCTGATGAATCTGGTCCACGAAGTTCTGAATAGACCAGAGTTCTATAATAGCACACAAATAAAATGGATGTAGTGTCGTTTACGATTTTTATGAAAGCTAGTATAAAAGGTACCGCCTTTCTTGTAGATTACTCCACTTTTAACACTGTCAACGGTTTAAGACATCAACCATAACCTCATTAAACAGACATGCGGCGCTATATGTGACCCGAAATAGTGTACAATAAACAATGGTGTATCACTTTTAATAAAACAGGAAATGTTTAGGAAGAGCTATAAGTAATAGAGAAAAACAATATATTTGTCCTTTAGAAATTACTCATGCCTGTTTCCAAAATCCCTGAAATCATATAGTAAATAATGTTGAGCCACACTGCCAATGGACGTTCACACAGGTAAAACAATATCGGCTATAATTTGGCATCGTCACAGAAATAACAAGGTTGGAAGAGGTAATTTTTTGACCGCATAAAGCGTATTGTAGTTTCCCACTCTGATTAAGAAAGTAACTCAGTATAAGCTACTTGCGTTTATTTGTAATTAAGCTAAGACGGAGCTATAGTTCGAGGGTATTCGCACACAGCGATAAGGAGCCCAGAATAACAAATGATGAGCACTGCTTATCTTATTTCCCATAAATATTATTTCGGTGCTGTTGTTAAATAAATAGTAGTTTGTATCTGAATGTGACAAACTGCAGCCCAATTACTTTTATAATCCTAGACTCGTACAATGTCAGGCCACATTGTGTCACCTCTGATTTGGCTTAGCCCAGGCTACTTAACAGATAACTCGGAAGCAAAGCTGTTTAATCGTAGAAAGTTAAGTTACTACATATAAAAGTGGCTAGTCTGAAATTGTGCAAAGGTAAGTTATGCCTTTTAACCTCAAAACAAATCTATTTGATTAGAAAACTTAGCTGAAAATAATTTGAACGCCCAATGTTCATTCGAAAAACTAGGTTAATGTAAAATGTATTTCCAATTACTTTACGAAAAGCGTTTTCCTTTTGACTAGTCTTTTGTACTCAGTTGCTTGTATAAAACGGAGTGGAATTCAGCCTTTAGCTAAATAAACCGTAAGAACCTGAGCCTTTGGGTAATTAGTTCAACTAGCGGAATTGACCTAAAACGTTTACTGATGTATTTCTAAGAAAACGAGTAAATACAAGATCCTCTCGCAAATGAGTGTGTCAATACTAAAGGCACGTCTATTATGTAACAATTGATCTAATGAACAGTGAAGCAGATATTGCAATCAAACATGACTATACTACTAGAAAAGGTAAAATCTTATACAGATTTTACTTTTTTTTTTTAATTAAAAAAATCTTTTATACAAAGATTTTTCTCAACGTACCGATCTTGTTTACGGGACTCAGCACAGGCCTGTTACTACCGGATGCGATCGCATACTTACAAATGGTACAAATGACTTCTATTTGTCTTCCATATGCCATATTCCGAAGATGCAGAAAATGTGTTTATGAGAAATCTCAGGGTTGGAACAATTACTGCTTTGTATCGTCTACGCTACCCGCTGTCGTCTAAAGTCGATAGACAGAAATGGTCGAGTAAGTCAAAATCATGCTGAAAAATCGCCATTGTAAACTTCCTATTGACACAGCTACCGATGTCGCCACAGTTGTCATTGGCGTTTACTTAACTCGGCACGTAGCAACAGCTCTCTGCTCCTATCGACTTACGGTCAGCCTTTACAGGCCTACATTTAAATAGCAGTGGATCGATATTTAGGGATTTTTTGATATGGCCTTCGGACGAGGCCTTCAACAGCACGATGTAGATGATCCGACCGACTGAATATCTTAGTACTCAAAGGCAAGGATTTCTTTCCGAGTTCCCGCGATTCCCGTCAGTATACCTATCCCAGTTAATTGACATTGTAGAATCAGATAATATATACGTATATGCTGTCTTTGTGTGACTATTTTCTCTAATAATAGTGTAAATTATTTGTTAATAGTAAGAGATCCTCATATACCGTAAACATTATACGTATATTACTAAATAGCGTATCAGCACGTTCCACTGACTTGAGGGGATACTTGAAGTTGATATAATTCTACCATTGTCGATTGTGTAGTAAGCTAAGCTGTAGTTATCTCATGCTTTAGGACAAGTAAACGTACCTGTTGTACCACTTCCGCCAGGGCTGTTGGGCGATGGTGTACAATGGTAGCGTAAGCACATCGTAGGCATAGTTAAATGCTTTGATCGCTCCGATGGCTACGTGGTGCGCGAGTGTGATCGACCCACCCTGGCTGGCAGTGGGTGAGGAACCCGATGGGGTTGAAGGGCCACCAACGCTCATCTCTGTAAACCATCAAAGAAATGAAAGACAGTAGGTTACATTTAGGACATACATTACACTAATACGATGTAACATGATGGATGATTTATAATATATATATAATCATTCTGTATGGGACTAGAACAGAGAACGAGATGACATGTATGCATTATGCTCATTATCCAAAGGCGACCTCCGCAAACAATGAATCCGAACGGTTCCGTCGACATTAAACTGTGTCTACAAGTATTGATGAGTTGGATCAGTGACAACTGTGTATGCACACTCGTAGTTGTTTCCTTTGATATAATGCTTACGTAAACCACAGTTTTTTCCCATATTAGAAACCCTTTTTGGACCTAGGCGTCGGAACGGGCCTTCGCACTGAATCTTCTTACGTCTTTTCTCCATAGCTAGATCTGAATTTAAGAGTCGAAGCAGTGAGAGTTTTTCGGCAAAAAATACGCGACACTAGTAGTGTATAAGCCAATCCACCATCGAAGCTGGTACGTCCTTGGTGTACGCATTTCCGTTTTTGAAAAATCTTTCAAAATGGCTAGACATCACTCGTATGAAGCTACTCCTTCTACTAACTGGATTGTGCGATCCTTCAGCACAAGTTCCAATGCGAGCTTTCCACATCATTGTCAATACTGGTTTTGCGGCTCCGCCTAAGACGACGATCGTTTCAAAGGCTCCTTAGTTCGTCTACGACTTATAGCCTGGAAACCAAAAGCCTTTCACTGCATTGGTACCACCTATTACCAGAACGTTATGCACGTTTCTTGCTACTCCACGTTTATTCTCCAGGAAAACGAGGGACTGTTAAACGTCGTTGACATCTAAACGCTTGCAAAATATTAAACGCGCGTTTGCGTGCTCTGAATCTAGGTGAGTTAACAGCAGGTAGGCAGGCAGGCGAGCGAGCGTACCACTACAAGCTTGGCGTGCTTCATCGAAAAAACCTTAGGGATACTTTTTTCCAGTATAATGTGCTCAAGGAACCCATCTACATTCTGTTCAGCTACACAGTTTTTTCTCGTAGCTATTTATTCATTGGGATTACATACTGCTTAGTAGATTGGGTTTTGGAACAGGGGCTATACTATTTCTGACAAAACAATTTCATCATACCGAAGGTGTTCGTAGATAAATGATTCTACCCAATTTAATTTTCGTCAACCATTGTTTTTCGTACAGCTTGTCTACGTCATATCAATAAGCGATTTTTAGACATTAGCTTTTTAACGATCTAACTCGAACACCGATCGAACAAGAGACACCGAAGAGGTTTTGAGCCATCAGTGCGTATTACCGTTCTCTTATAATCCAGACCATTTGTGCTGTAAGTCAGGCTGTCGAATTGCTGTTGAACCATGCTTGGTTAGCAACCAATAAGTCGCAATGACTGTTAACTTAACCGATCAATTACCTTTGAGCAGTGTCAGAAGCTGTAGTGCGACTATTTCAAAACAGGGGCACGGCGAACGCGGCGTCAACAAAACTATAGCTCGGAGACAAAAATCACTGCATTCACATCTATCTGCATCTAACGGGAGGATAAAGATACTTGATGTCTCGATAGGCAAACGTCGCAGCAATGACGACTTTGTTTGTATCGCTATTCTGCGGACGCAGATCTTTTAGCTGCCATGGTCTCCACTTTGGTAGGCTTGCCACCTTAAAAATGTAAGTTCACTATAATCCGTTTTCGTCTGCTCCTCCTCCTCCTCCTTCTTTTCCCACTTCCCCTTTATCTCTGCTGGCTTGGTTTTCCATCTCGCTCCTCGTACGATCCGTATAACTCAAAATCGACCTATCGAGCCGCGGTCATCATTTTTAGCATCATCAGCGACATCATTGCAGTTCATTTATCACATTGTGATTATCGATGAGGAATACTGTCCTCTTCCGCCCCCACTGTTATCGCCTATTCAATTCAACGAAAGCTTAGTGGGCTTGTTGCTGGCTGGTATCAGCGGCATGTTAAGAGCTCCTTCCCCGTTTTTCTTTGCTGCTAGCTTGCTTGACACTTTACGTTACACTGTAATGTACATTTTTGTATTATCATGGTAGGCCGCTTCGTGGTAAGCACGCTGTGCTGATACAAAACGATAGAACCTTTGAAAGCGTTTTATGTGCGCTGGACATTACTTCTAGTGGAGTCTTAGCGGGTAAAGAACCCGAGTAGATACAGGGCAGATCGCTCACTACAAGGAGTAAAGCAAAAGCAGTTGAACAAGAGAAGGGGAAAAAAGTACTAAATGGCCAAAACAGACAAGTTGGGTAGCTGCCTGGCTGGCCTCTACACATCACGCCACCTTTGTTCCAGTTTCAGTGGCAATAACGTGGTTCATCATTTCATTTCACGTATGACCTCCAAAGGTACCACACGACCATCCACTCTGGTGTCTGTTCGGGAGGATGCTAGTTCAAATATATGCGCAACAAATTATATCCATTGATCGTATAGCTATCGTCTAACACGTTCAGAAAACTAGCCGTTACAATATAATGGTATTGATCAGCGAGGACACGCACACAGCAATATCATTAAGTCTCATTTGCGTCCATACAGTCTTCTGCCCCATTTGACAAAGGTGCGCGGTAATTTTCTCCTGGCCACTGCTAAAAATACGTAGTAGATAGAAAAAAAGGGTCTTTGGCTACAAAGTTAAATATATCACGGTTGGTGGCTTCGTCAAGTGGGAGATTATTGCTTGATAAATTATTAAAATGCTGGCTCATACAGCTTCGATACAGTGCTTTACTTACTCTTGAGCAAAATTCTGGCTACTGTAAGCTGCTGTAGGTGATAGTGGTACCAAATTATGGCGTATCCGTGACTAAAAAAGAGAAGTAGAATATTTTTATTTTGGCTCGCAGCTACCGCGCCTGCGCCCCCTAGATTACAACGCGAATTGTGCTTGCAGGGTCAATTTTTATCTGTCTGATGGCTGCTACGATAAACACTAATATTCTATTTATCACTAATTATACAGGTAGTATATATAATCCGTTTGGTGTAAAGCAAGGAGGGAAATAAAGAAATGCATTTGAATTGATAGCGCTATCTATTTGAAATATACAGGACGTACGGGTCATTGTTAACTAGTAGTTGACGCGTCCTGCAGCCCCGTAAGAATTGTTAAAACGTGGCCTGCGCTTTATTGATTTTACATCCAGTCCTTTGCTTCCTACGCAAAGACATCAAACTCACTCCCATATCGATAACTGCATAATGACGAGAATGCATGTCGACACGTAAGCACAACCCGCGAATTTAGATAAAGTAACAACGAATATTTCTTTTTGGCGAACGAACTTTTTCGATGTCGAGCGGAATCACAAGACTGGTAGATGAAACAGTAGTCCCGTACTGAAATAGCTAAAAAATATCAGGCTCGTTATGGCCTGCGTCGATACTGACGCAAGTACGGTGCAACGAAATGGTCGCGCATAAACAAATTCGCGTGACAAGAATAACGGCGTCAACCAAGTCTCAGGCAACAACGGCCGACCAGCCAGCCAAAGAGCCAACAGGGACATATAGCTCTGACGAATCGTCCGGCGAAACTTCAATTATCTGAATGTATATGGACACCCCATCTCAGGTTAAGCGTACGCATTTAATGGAGTAGTTTGCCGCGTACATAGGTACACAGGGTACTACAAAGGGGAACTTCATTAATATCATGATGACTCGTTACGTATAGGTTTAAAGCATTTAGCATGAATTAGCATTAGTTTAGACATTTTGCACGAATCAACTCATCTCACGAAATGCAGGTCTGCCATTACCTTCAGTTTTTAATAAAAGTACACCAAGAAACACAAGGAAAAACGCTCCCTCAAACTACAAACAGATTCTGCGTTGCCAACAAACACCTCCTCACTGACTAGAGTTGACAGCCGACGGTAACGAATAAATACTCTATTTTTTATACCGGAACCCAGTAGCTGTCTAACGATATGAATATTTATCCAAAATTACCTTTGTGAAACAGGATGTGAGCCGTTTAGAACGTGCAAGAACGAATCCTACTGCTGTCGACAATTGTTAAACAATTCATGAGTATACGACGTTGGCAGGTTCATTACCTTCACCATCGTGACGCTTTCGTTGGTCATGGGTTTCTCGCGCCAGAAATAGTCCACTGCAGCCTTGCCGCATATTGAGTTATATATATTATATATTGAGTATAACGAGCCAATTGATTTCATCAACATTGTTGTTTTATGCTGACATTGGGGTCACTGTACTGCTATTAGTTCCTTCTGACCTTCAGGTGTTAAAGGAGTCATGAGCATACATGTAAAACGGTCGAAGCACAACAAACTATTGTTCATCTTAGATAATAAAATATTTGCCATGTCCTCAAGGGCCGAGTTAAGTGCGAACTGTTATCTATTACAATGCTACTGCTAATACGAAGACATTCGTTCATTCTTCCGTCCTCAATAATTAGTACTTGCATTGCTTTCGATAGCTAGAGGAAGAAGTCTGGCGAGTATTGAAACTATTATTGTCTGTCTCAGCGCACAACAATCCGGGAAACATTAACAGATGCAATTATAGAACTTGGAAAACTATTAAAAATGCTACGTCGCGTCTGAAGTGGCCAAAGTTACTATCCTCAGGTTCCGATGTGATTTTGATTGTAGTCATACGGTCCACCAGTATTTCAGTTACTGGACGAGCTGCTTCGGTGACTCGCCTGCTGTCCCTTAAGCAATAAAGGTTAAGCCACTAGTAGGAAGGCTTACGGACGAAGTAAGCAACAAGCAAGGGAACAATGACCGCAACGACATCAACAAAAAGAAACTAAGGTCATAATAATAATAGCGTCGGTTGAAGGTCAGTAAATTGTGGTAACACTGCCTTTTTGGACCGGCGAAGGCTGCAAACAGCTGTAAAGCAGGACCATGTCCAAATCTGAAGACTTCACCGAAACCTCACGCCCAATGCTCTGTTAAATGTTTACAGATTGCATGTAGGAAATAACGAAGTTTCTCAGCTATT